TAGAAAAGTACTGCTTAGATTTAGAGGAAAATTTTACAAGATTGTGGTGAGACCTACAATGCTTTATGGCGTAGAATGTTGGCCTTTAAAAGAGAAGCATAAAACTAAGTTAAATGTTGCTCAGATGAGAATGCTTAGGTGGATGAGTGGCTTGACACTTAAGATGAAATGCAAAACGAATGTATTCGTGAAAGAGTTGATTTAGCTCAGTGGTAGACTGAAATGAAAAACGAATGTATTCGTGAAAGAGTTGATTTAGCTCAGTGGTAGACAAGTTTAGAGAAAGTCGACTTAGATGGTTTGGTACATTAACATCGACAATCTGATGTTCCGATTAGATGACAGATGCTTTAGATTTGACTTCTGTTAAGGTAGAGGTAGACCTAAAAAGACTTGGGCTTGTTGTATACAAAATGATCTTGATTTATTAGAATTAAGTGAAAATACGACGCTCAATAGGACACAATGGAGAAAAAGGATTCATGTAGCATACCCCAATTAGTGGGATAAAGGCTTATTATTGTTGTTGTTGTAGTTTATTTAAAATTAATGATAAAACTTCTATCTTTTCCTTCAAACAACTTTTACTCCTGTAGTCCCACACAAGGTACTTAATCTTCCAAGTACCGAATCCTTTCAGTTTTCTATAGTTACTTTGAGATAAAATTTTGATATTGTCATGTAGCTGTGCACTCCAGTCTATTGTTGTAAAATTTTTGATTTGATTAAAAAGACAAGGAAAGGAGAGGAATTACCTGCCTAACATGACCGGTAAAAGCCAAGTTTAATATGAAAGTTTGATTCTGGTGGCCCTTAATAGGGAATTAGGGCCATGAAATGTTATGCATTGCTAATTCAACATGCTTTAAGCTTTGTGGCCACAGAATATTTTATTTCAGAAATGATCGAACATAGAACCACAAATGGAAACCATTGCTTATAAGCTTATGTAAGGGTTTCTTTTAACAATTTCTTTCCCTCTGCAGTTATCTTTCTTAATCTTATAACTAAAAAGTTCTCTTGTTATTTATAGAAAGAAGATTGCTTATAATTTTAACGTTTTTTGCTAACTCTTTTGTTCAAAACTGCTAATGCCAAATAATAGCATGTTCTTAGTTGTTTTAGTTTTTATTTTTTTATATTTTATTTATTTTTTGTTTTAGTTACTTGATCATGCATATTGAATCAAGAAAATGGGATTTCAGATGTTTGAAGAAATTCAAATGTTACACCTTGTGATTTCAAATGGGAATTTCAGATGTTTTATTAATTTTGAATGCTTTCTGACTTTAATGTTTACTTTGTTATTCATTTGTAGTGGGAAGATTAAAAGCCGTGGGGGTTCAGAAATCCCATTGCAATGCACTAAAATGTGTTGAACGTGGTAGTGGAGCTCTTGGAGTGCAAATGAATCTTTTTGACCGCCTAGCGAGAGTAATCAAGGTTAAATTCAGAACAAATGATTTAAATTTGTCATCTTCTGGAGTGCTTTCCGGTTTGCTTTCCCATTGTACATATATTGTGCATATATGCTAATACACTATAATGACATCTTTGTGTCTTCAGTCATATGCAAATGCAATCCTTAGTACTGTGGAGGATCCAGAAAAAATTTTGGATCAAGCAGTTCTTGAAATGAATGATGACTTGACAAAGATGCGCCAGGCGACAGCCCAGGTACTTCAGTTGAATGCATTAGCTTCAATACCCACTAGCTTATAGACAACGAATGCACTTGTATTTTTTCTTGATATAGTTTTCTTTAGAGAAATATCAAATAATGTTTGTATCCCCTATTAAACGTCATTTTTTTCCATTTTTCGCTCTTCAATGCTTATCTTTATACTTCTTGCGCTTTTACTATTGTTCAATGGCGATAACTGCTCTCGTCAGTGTGTGGGCTGCTTTTGCTATCACTTTTTAGTCTTCCACCCTTTTTCATTTTAGTTTAGAGCAGCATTAATAGTTGAAAACTAACAGGTTAATGCATTATAGTTGTAGTCTAGGGGCAGCTTAGGAATCTGTTGGTTGAGGCTTTTCCATTAATCATCTGGGAACAAATGTTTTTTGTCCTTTTTTTTTTTGGTTAAGAGTGCATACTTTTGTTTGTATATGAATTATGATTTATGCAATAAAGGATTATGGAAATTGAATTAGAGCTTTGTTATTGAATATGTGGATTCAGGGCATGTGGAAGAGAATAGTTTTGTAAACATTATAATTTTAACTGGAAGTTGAATGTTTAAGGATGAAACAAGCCATGTCAATGTCTTGAGAATGGGCTTATCATATCGAACAAATAATTATTTAAGATTAAGTCTCAAAATAGCACCCAGATTATTTGTATGTGGCTAATATAGTCCTAGAGTATCACAACTCTTCAATTTAGTTTAATGATTATGCAAAATCAAACCAAATTGATTCCTTATGTAGAATTGCGATACAAAATTGATTCTGTGTTACTCTTCAACCATAAAAAATTGATTTTGACGCAGTCTTTAAGGGACCATTTTGGATCAATGTTATATAGTTCAGGGAGTAAATTGGAGAAATATAATACACACATAGTTGGACTAATTTGGAGTTTACCCCGAATTATTTATCAGCCTTTAATTTGAGAAAATAAACAGGTAATTGAAGAAGTTGTGTTTCTGGCCTTTTTTTTAGTTATTATAAGGGCTCCAGTGTATCCACCATTAAAATCTAATCGTTTGTTTGTTAAAATTCATGTGATGATAAAATGTTTTTGTCAAGTGCAAGAAAAAATCATGAAATGTTAGTTTTCAAGCTTTTGCTCTTTCACCTCGTGCTTGCTTTTTCTTGAAACTTTTTGCTTTGATATGTTCAGTATACTTTGGAGGCTAGAGCGTTGTGTTATATCATAAGAAGAGTGGTTATAGGTGGAAAATTTTATAATTATCATGCCTGTGTTTGCTTCACCCTTTTGTGAGCATTTCCATAATGAGTTAGGAGAGGGAAAAAAGTATTATTTGGCTCTTTCTTTTTCTTGCATTTATATTGTGTACTGAGAAGCTTATAATATAAATGGTTTTTTTTTTAAATAAAATTTATTTATCCTTAAAATCAAGCTAATTTTATGTGGGCTGGCAAGGGACTGGTCAATAGAGTAGTTTTGCATTAATTGGTTTTGCCACTTTCTTAAAATAACTTTGTTTACATCACATTTCCATTTCTATTTGTGAATGGTCAATGATCAAATTTCTTTTCTACTTTTCTTCAATGTAAACAAGATGCTTTAATCTTGATGATGGGAATATTGTCCATATGTAAAGCTATTATGGTGTGCATCACTGATAAATAGAAAAGTATTTAAAATTTGTTAATGCTATTTGAAATTCCATAATATCTAATTTATACACCCTTATTATGTGCATCAATGACTTTGGGTCACAAACTTCTTAGTCTCTTGCCTTGTGTGACTCATCTAGCATTGTAAGGTTACCACAAACTTGTCCAGCGTTGCGGCCTCACGCAAAACGTCCAATTTTATGATTTTGCAGATCAAATCTTTCATCAATGCGATCTCACCCGCTCCTCTATAAGAAATCTTAATCGTTAGTGATATTCTATGATCCCTTTCTGAACACACATTTTTTTGTCAAAATTTATTTCTGTGAATCTAGTTGTTTTTGTCTTTCATCTTATTTTGGAATTTTTGTTCTTCATCCCTATCGAGTGCTTTCTTGTTTTTTTATTTTTGCCATGTTTGTGGGTAGTTTTTGATGTCGATGCTACTTTATGATGTTGGCATCTAATTTGCTCTTATTACCTCTAGCAGCTAAGGCAACCTTGGTTGCATCTTCTTTTTTTGCTCTCATTTGTATCAGATTATTTTTTCTTCTTGCCATGCTTGTTCTCGTGTTAACCACTGTTCGGGATCTTTTGCATTTCTTATTGTATCAGACTTTTTAATTCCCACTTCCTGTTACAAGTACTTCTCTAAGAGTTTTAATTCATCGCATAGTGCGGTTGGCTCCTCCTTCCCAAGTGGCCTTAACTTTTTCAAGGCTCTTTCTTTTATTTTCTCCCTGCCGGCTTTGACTTATTTTTCTCAATCCCTGTGTTCATTTGTAAATATTTTTTGTGGTTTGAATGTGATGTACATTTTGCCCTCTTAAATCAACAATTTTCTTTTCTTTTACTAGAACTCAGCAACTTAACAACATAAATTGTCTTTATCTTTTTAAGGCATTTACAACATAAACTGACTTTATCTTTTTAAGGCATTTTTTTCCCGTGAGAAGATTTCTAGGCTTGCTAGATATCTCACTTTCTCATTTATTGAAAAATTCTATATTGCTTATCCTAGCATGAAAATTTCACAAGTTCATGCTAGGTTTCTAGCTCGTAAGTGATTATTCCATAATGCTTTTTGATACTTGGTATATCACCATAGGTCTTCTTTAGAAGCATATTAAATCTGACTTTTCTCACAAAATTCATCTTATATCCATCTTATATCCATGGTCTCTTGATACGCATGTTAACTTGACTTTTCTCACAAAATTCATCTTATATCCATGGTCTCTTGATACGCATGTTAAAATGATCTCCCCCAACATTTTGATAGCACTGTACAATCGCCTCTCTCCAATTTGAATCTCATTTCTACGAATTTTTCTTCACTACATTAACTAATTAACCTTATTTTTGTTGGTTTTATATTTAGAAAGTTTTTAAAGGCGGATGCTATTATAGATCAATTTTTTTGGCCCACTAACACTGATTTAGGGTTTTTTCGACGATGGTGTTTGTTAGATGAAAATTCTTGGATGTTTGTAAAGAGGAAGAAGGATCAAAACAACCAGCAATTAAATGAAAATCATAACAAAATCAGGGATTAATTGCTGTTGGACGACAAGACGAAGAATTGAAGGAAGATGTGTGAGACAATGGGAGGTTTTAATTTCAAGTTGTTTCCACTAGCTATATTCTATTAAGATACAGATTCACAGTTGAAAGAAATGGCTATATCTCTTTAATTAGAGAGAAAAAAAGAGAACACTCCCAAAAATAACATAAACCAAACAGAAAGTACAGCCATAAATTTTAAATGAAATATTTATATTACCAAAGTAAAAATAGCCTTAATCATAGTGGTAGGTTATCAATTAACATATTTTGAAACTCATACAGTAGAGGTTTCACTATCTCTGGTATTAGACCCTCTTTCTCACTTCCCTCTAGTTTTACCAGTGCCTCTCTCATAGCCTATAGAAAAGAGTGTGCTATCTCTGGTATTAGGCCCTCTTTCTCACTTCCCTTTCTCACTTCCCTCTAGTTTCACCAGTGCCTCTCTCATAGCCTATAGAAAAGAGTGTGTGAGATCCCATTTCTTACAAGCACTCATCACAGTAGATTCATCCTATGATAGTAGTACAATGTACTTCTAGTTTTTGATAAATAGATGTGTATTCTTATGGCCATCATTAATTATGGCTCTATTATATTGCCACAACAAGCCATTCATAAGCGCGGAATCATGCTACATCTGATCTTGTCGTTTACTTTCATTGAAAAATTCTACTAGGAACCTTTTGTTGAGATTGATTATATTCACTTTAACGAAGTCATATAGTGTAGCTTAGAATGCCTCAAGGCAGTGAGACATAGCTTGCCCACTATTTGAGTAGATTCTACTAGGAACCTTTTGTTGAGATTGATCTTATTCACTTTAACGAAGTCAGATAATGTAGCTTAGAATGCCTCATGGCAGTGAGACATAGCTTGCCCACTATTTGAGTAGACATCACGTTTTCACAATTGCCTCTATTGATGATGTGGTTGCACCCCTCCGTCACTGTACAACGAGTAAGGATTATTATGCCTAAGCCATTGCCACTCTCTCTTGGGTTCGATTTGGAGAACTCATCGAACCATAAGTATTGGGAAACTAATACTTCCCTTCATTTTTCACCTCTCTATTGTTTTCTACTATTTGCTTTTTTAACTGCTCTTTGCTAAAAAAATGTTCTCCCATATGAACAACTAGAGACAACATGTCTATAATCATGATACTTGAAACACCTAGTTGGGAAAGTGTTTGGGGTGCTTTCCTTGTCATTCTTTTCTCCTCCCTATTGTATTATTTTCTCTATCTTCAATGCTAAGGTTTGCACATCAATCAAAAAAATATTATTTTAACTACACCACTTTACCAAAAGATAGTTTTAGTCATCCAAGGTATTATACTATTGTGTGCTCCTCCAACTTCATCAATGCACATTTTAGCTTCATTTGTAAATTCAACCATATTCTCTTCTATTGATAAATCTATTTGTTGCAAATTATGAATCCTCAAAAAGATATCTTGCTGATAGTGCATAGGAAGATTTTTCCACTACATCTCTCTTTTTCATCTTAAATCATATGGTGACCTTGTTCTTCCCTTCATGCTGACGATTTCACTTCAAATTCTCCCACAATAAGGAAACACTTTTCTTGAGTATAATAGCACCAATTTAATTGATTTTTAAGTGGAATATCTTTGTACTCAAAGATTTGTTTCACTGTCAAGAGCCATTCAATAAGCTCCTTCTCCTATACTCAATGTCGAATTGACGAGACATTGGCTATTCATAACTTAAGGCCTCTTGGTGTAGGGGTTTTCTTCCTCTTCTCCTACCGGTTGGTCGCCGTTATGGCTTTGGATGACCTGATCATATTTCCTTCTCAGAAAATGAATGAGTTTTTGCTGTAATTAAAAGATTCCTTGCTGCATATCCTCATGGTAAGCTTCTGAACTCTATTTTGTGGATTTTTCCTTTGCGGCATAGTGGTTTGTTCCTCCTTAAGATTTTGTGCTAGGGTAGGTCTTGGAATTTAGGGCATTTCGAAATCAAAAGCTTAGCTTGTAGGGTTGTAGAGGCGATTTTGGTGGAGGAAGAAGGATTTTAGATGTGAACTTGGATGTGAATGTACAAGGGATTGGATTTTTGAAAATCTAGGATTTAAGTGGTTTTCATACCAACTTATACTAAATAAGGATTTTCCAGACAATTGTTTTGGTTACATGAAGATCCAGGGATGTTTGTAAATAAAAAGAAGGATCAAAATAGCTTAAAAATTGATTGCAGTTGGAATGAAATTTGGGGTTGGCTGCTGTTGGATGGTAGCCAGAAGAAAAATTGAAGGCTGGTGGCTAGAAAAATGGGAGGTTTGATGTTGAGGTGATTCCATCATCTGTGCTCTATCAAGATATAGATTCATCACTCAAAAGAGATGGCCAGAGCTCTTTGAGAAGAGATAAAAACAGTGAACAGCCTCCAAAATATCATAAATTAAAGTAGAAGCCCAACCATTGGTTTTAATAAATTATTTCCATGTCTTAAACCAGCTAGGTTTACTTGGTTTACCCAGGTAGGGGCTAGCTAGAGTTTTTGTGGCATTTAATCTTGCCCTTTTCCATAAAGTGTGGATTTGGTGTTTCGTTTGGATATTGGCCTTAGGTGTAATTTGAAAATATTCATTCTTTCTTCTCATTATGTCCTATCTTTGGTCATAATATCTTTGAATATTTCAAGGCTCATCCTCGAGCCAAGAAATTCTAGTCACATGATCATCCTTCTGAGAAATTTCAAAAGCATGACTGTTCTCCTAATGCTCATAATGTTCCTCTTGCACCATTGTTGGAAGAACCGTCATCATCTGTTTAGGTCTGTTTTCAAAGCCTAAAGACATAATCATACTTTATTCTTGATTTCTTTAAGCTCCCTTGGTGTTGGTAATTTCATCAACTGCTCGCATTATCATAGATAAAGGTTTGCAAATTCTTGAAATACCTCAACTTTATCTTTTTGTGAACAAAATGATGATTGTTTATTGTAAAAAGTTTCTTATTTCGATTGGAGTGAGAGATTTTGTGTTTCTTATTTAAGAAGGGTTGGATATTCAAAAAAAATCTCTCTACCTTCTTTTTCACTAGTTCATTGTAGATAATCCAAATAAATATTTTGTATATTGTATCATGCTGTTTCATTTTTCTCTCTGCTTTGACATTTTTTTTGTAATGACTCGTGCACTCATATCATTATCTAACTTATTCTTTAGAAAAGAAAAGTAAATTGGTTTTAAATCTATTAGTGAATGAAAAACTTTTGCATAGCGACTTTTGTTTCGGAGATCTTTTTTTTCCGTATTTTATTATTTAGTTTCTTACTGAAGGTTTTAGCCTCTCAAAAAAGGATGGAGAATAAGTATAAAGCTGCTCAACAAGCTTCTGATGATTGGTAATATTTCTCATCACATATGATGTTTATCTTTAACCAAATAAATATCTTCATCATGCAAAGAGTTACGTTTTTTTCTTTTCTTTAGGTATCGGAGGGCTCAACTTGCTCTAGAGAAAGGAGATGAAAATCTTGCTCGGGAGGCCCTCAAACGAAGAAAGTCCTATGCTGTAGGTATTTCTTGTAAATTCTATCATTGAAATCGTCTTCTATACTTATTGTGATGTAAATTTTTATATGCATAATATTAGTATTGAAATGTTCAACAATTTTCTATTGACACATGATCCAACAAATCATGCTATTTTGGTATGTTATTATATACTATCGTTTGCTATCAATTAAATTTTTTTCCCTTGAGTGTTTAAAACCCAATGGATAGTTAACTAGTATCTTTCTATTATGTGAACCTTTTGTGTTTATGAAATTTAATTACATAAATCGTTATGATAGATAGCTCAGAAATTGACAAAATATGTTAAGTTCAAGCACTTATAACGAATCTTGTGATATGGCTAGATGCAACACACATAATTTTCTTCTAATAATTAAATATAATCTAAATATAAGTTGTATAAGAAATGTATGGGTGGATGTAACTCTCCTGTGTGTTTTTTGAAGGACATGTGGAATATCACATGGGCTTGAGGCCAGTTAATATCATAGGTATTCATTGTGATATTTTTCTTTTTCTTTTTGCATTCTTCAACGTTACCGACTAAAATGTATCAAAGAAAATAAAAATTGATATCATTATTTTAACGGTAAGACCTTTATTTGCTTATTTCATATATTGCATAGACATTCTCTT